CCTTAGCTAGGACTACAGGTTCAGTGGGCACACAACAGGGACCAAAGCCAGAAGCATATTAAAAGTACAGACTGATTATTTGTGAGTATCTGTATAAATGTAATGAAAATAAAAGGGTCCCGCCTGAGTGGCATAAAAATGCCAGTGTGACAGAAGAAAACCCTGTCTTCCTCATTCTCAGAGGCCAGGTGGATTTCTCTCTTTGCTGGATGAAGCAAGCCAAGGGATCTGGTCAGCAGAGTCAACCCTTCCAAAGAAGCTCCAAAGCCTGCTGGAATCTTCAAACACAAACGCGGTGTACCCCCCCACGAAGGACGGGAATGGGAACATGGCGCTCCGGGCTGCGGGCTTGGCATTCACAGTCATGCACTATGCAGGACGGGTGAGTGGCGGAGCCACGGGGCCACGGTCCTGGGAACAAACTTTACAGGTTTGGATACCATGGTGCGTGTGGCTCTGGTCAGGACTCTGACACATAGCCCACAGAATTTTACTTTTGTGTTGATTTATTTTCAGTGTGATTAGGGGTTCTGCTCCTCAGCATGGTGTGAAGAATGGGGGCACCATGCAAGGCTTTCTAGGGTTATCGTCTCCTGTGAGCACAGGAGCTCAGGGGTTCAGGCACACAGGGCGCCACTGTGTGTCTTGCAGTCTCTCCACAGAGCAAGCAGACTTCCGTGACTGCATTTGCTGCTCCTGCATGTAGGTGGAGTCCTCAGGTCCACTTCTTGGAGTGTGGGGGCCTAAAACAGCAGCTGCCCTTACCCTCCCACCCTTGGCCAGGTTAGAGAATCATTCTCCTCTCTCCCGTGCTGCCGGGACACCTCTGCCCCATTCCGTCCTCACTTCCGAAGTGCAGACCCTGTCACCACCCACACCCAGACCCCTGGTTAGGGTTCCCATGGGGGTTCCTCTAATCCCCTCCCCTGAAGCTCCTTCCCACCCAATCTTGACCTTTCCTCTTTGTCTTCATGGGAAGATCAAATTGTATTAATCATTTTGTTCATTTTCTTTTCTTGCTACTGAGGGTTGAACCCAAGGCCTTTTCCCCTCAAGCTCCCACCCCAGCTATTTTAAAATTCTTTTACTTTGAAGTAGGGTCCCAATTAGTTACTATGTTGCCTATGCGGGCCTTCAACTTACCACCCTCCTGCCTCAGCCTTCCAGAGTTCTGGGATTTCAGGCTTATACTACCGTGCTGGGTTTTTAGCTACCTCTGAATACTTCCATTCCTGCATGTCTGTCTTCAGTCCCACTCCCGTCTGCAGTTAATGATGCCACCTCAGCATTTGCCTCTGTGCTGTTGGCTACTTTGGCACCAGCCCTTCGCAAAAATTAGGTATTAGAAGATAGAATCTCGCCCTCTTGTGACGGGACTGGTGGTGTGGGAGAGAATCCACCTGGGCTCCTTGAGCAGCAGGACATTCAGAGCAGGAGCAGATCTGTGCAGGCTCCCAGGTGACATCTGGGAAGCTCCCTGAGGACCACGCCCCAGACCTGAGCTGCCAGGACCCAGTACCCCATGTGATGGGAATCCCCCGCAAGGCTGAGCAGCAGCTGCAGCACGCCTGCTCGGGTGACCTCCCTGTACTCTGGCACTCAGCACAGACACATGAGCATCTGGAGCAGGGGCTGGGCTTGCCAGCACTAAAGAAGCTGAGCGGTGCATGGCAAGAGTGACCTCTGCCCTCTGCCCTCTGTCTGTGTGGGCCTGGTCACAGTGGCCAAGGTGACAACTCTGAAGTCAGCTCCCAACCGCAGAGGCTTCTGGAAAGGCTCCTTTCTTGCCCTCCAGCCTCTGCACTGCAGCTTCACCTGCTGCGGGCGCCTACACTGCATGGGGGGTGGGGCAGAAAGAATGGGGTGGGGTGGAGTCACTATAAGGGCTGCTTTGAGTCAAGCCCCAAATGAGTCTGCACCAGCTGGGGGGACTTCGCCCTCTTGACGGAGCTCATCAGTGCTGTAGATGGGGAGGACGGTGCTGATGGTGAGACTCGATGCTGGGACATCAGAGGTTGGCTGGCTTTAGAAACATGTGCTTGGAAGTGCGTATCTTGATGGTTTACTCAGGAAAAGTACGGAGAAGAGTTGCAAAAGCTGAGAAGAGCAGTAGCACAGAAACCCTGAGGAAAGGCTGTCAGTGCACACACGAGTGGCCCAGCGCCTGCCCCATGAGCCGGCAGCAGGAGTCCCGACGCGCACGCAGGAGCTGGGGGTGGACAGGACACTACTGAAGAGGTTTCAGTGTCCCTGTGAGTCACCAACTTTCTCCTCTGTTCGAGGGACTGAACCTTTGGAGTTCCTTGTAAAAACAGGGATCTTTTAGTCCTAGGTCCAGATTTTATAACAATTACACAGAACTTTGCATTAGGATATCATGATTTCAGGGAGTTGTTTTCTTTCACCTTTTCGGGGGCCATAGGAAGGGGATATAGATCGACCTGTTTTGTTCATCTGTGTTGGGTGGGAACCAACAGATATTGAATAAAGGTTGTTTTAATGGGGAGAAATGTGGCTTAAAATTCTAGTTTTCTGATTTATGATTTTTAAAAGTACTAGCACTTAATAAAAATTCAACTTTATCTGCCATTGTTTCTAGAAAATTAGGGTTGGAAACAAACCATAGTGTAAATTAGGATCATTATGCTGGTTTCTGTTGGAAATTTGCCCGTAGAACGACAGCCGAGCCAGTTGGTCGGTGCTGATCCAGAGTCCTTGTGGAGCCCTGAGCTTCCCCATGGATGCACCTGTCTTTTCAAGCGAGTTTCTCATAATGAGAGTCAATTTTGTGACTTTATAAAGTCTTTTCTTTCAGGGACATGTATTAATGCACCTCAGCCACAGGAACCCTGAGGATGAATTCGTTTGTTAGAGTGCGGACTGTGTGGCGTTTGTGTGGCATCGCCCACATGCCTGGAGCCGTCCAGCGCAGCGCTAGACGCTCTTAAATGCTGAGCTGTGGCACTGAGAAGCAGCAGCTTATTCTCACTTGTAAGTCAAGATAGTCAGAGAACGCTGAGTGCAGGACCTGCCGTGGGCAGCGGGAGGAAGCAGCCCGAATACTCTGCAGTAAGGTTGGCCCTGGGAGGGTCATGCTCTGCTGCTCTTTAATTGGTGAGCAGTCTCTGTGGCCACAGGGAGGGCTGGGATGTGCCCTCGCACCACCTGCTCCAGGGCTGCTCTGGGCCTTTCTGTGTCACCTCTCCTCGGGAGGGCAGTGGCTGATGCTAGTGCTAACCCTGACAGCCAGGCCCAGCTGGGCACTCACCTGTCCCAGCAGCTGCCCCAAGCCTACGCCTGCTTCCGAAGCATGTCGGTGTGGGACTCACAGGTCCTTCTAGAAATGTTTAAGCAACAGGATCTGAATTGTGCTGAAGAGCTTGCCTAAACACGTTTGAATTTTTCATTACTCGTAGGAGTGTAGTGTGTTTTCCAATCTCCATTACGGAAATATTTTAAAGTAAATGGTAAGAGGCTGTGCATGGCATGAAATATTAATAAGCTCTCATTAATGAGCATAGATTTGAATTAAAGAAGGCTTGTGGGGTTTGTGTTTTTTCTTTTTTCTTTTTGGTTGTTTTGATTATTTGTGTTAGCAAATTATACATCATATCTGAGATTGCCTGTTTTAGGGATTGCTCTGTAACCGCAGTCTTACATTCCAGATAAACATTTAACCCAGACTTGTATCTAATTTTATTGACTGTTAAAAGTAAGAATCCTGAAGGGAAGGAGAATTATAGCTTGGCAGTGGCTCTCAGGAGACGTGAGCTTCCATTAAAGCAATTCTCAGCCATCTGTAATAGGAGGTAGTATTTTAGGGTTCTTAAGTTTTCATGTGAGAAAAGTGAATGGATTAAAAGAAAGTAAACTGGTCTGAGGTAAGAAAGCCAGAATTGATGAACATGTGAGCAGGAGTTAGTAGCTGTCCACACAGGCGCACACACCTGTGCTCCTTGTGTCCTGTCATGCAGCTTCCATGCAAGTTACTAACGTTGACGCTATGATGCAGCATTCCCATCCAGATCTCGTGCCGCCACCCTGCTGTGGGTCCCCACTGGCGCCTAGGCAGCAAGTTAGTGCTGCTGTTATAACTGAAAGGAGGGGTCTGCGCCTTGGCTCTGCATCCCACAGACACGCCAGCCACCGTGAAAGGCGAGTGGTGGCCTCAGGAAGTGCAGGTGCTGCCATGGAAGCTGGGGCCAGAGCCTCTTTGGAAAGTGGGGTCTGTGGGCCACGGGTTTGAAAATGGGACAATTATCTTAGATTTTGTAGGGGGAACTAAGCCCCATAGGAAATACTCAAAGGGGATCTGGTGACAGAGAGACATGTTATGGCTGGAGGCAGACCCCAGAGTGCTGTGGCCACAGCCGGGGATATGCAGAGCAGCCAGGAATAGGCTGGGTGGTTGGGGGTGGGACTGCTGGGCCTGGAGCTCAGGCTCCCAGGACCATGGAGAATGTATGCCTCTGGCTTCGTGACGCCTGGTTTGTGGTTGTTATTGTGGTCACTTTAGGCAGCCTTAACAGCATTCATTGGCTCCTTCCATCATACAGCTTGTGAGAGAACATGCGACGTTAGCACTAGACTTTCTTTCCAGTGCAGGACCCGTTTTTAAGTGACCTCAGCACTCCTGCACCTCTGTTTTGATCATGTCCTCTCCCCATTGCCCAAATCTCCCCTGTTTTTCCAAGTGTCAAGTTCTTGGCTGAGCCCCACTTCTCTGGTGCCGCCTTGCCTCACAGCAGTAAAGTCTGATGTGTGCTTCACATTTCATAGCTCGCAGAGTGCTTCTGAGACAGCTTCACATACAAACTCTGCTGCCTCAGGTTTTCTTTGCTGTGCTTTGTGGAGATTTAATGATTCACCAAAGTTCATTCAGTGCCCCCTTCTCCCCTCTACCCCCCTCCTTCATCTCCTAGGGCCATGGTGACAAAAGATCTGGGCTGAGGAGCTGAGTATTGGAATTGCTCTCCTATGAGCCTGGAGAAGTCATGCATGTGGTGTCAACATGGTCGGATCCTGCCCAGTCTCCTGGGAGGCGCAGTTCCTATGGACTCCATGCCTATCCTGGTGAACTGTCACCCCCAGCAGCTGCCGCTCTTTGGCGCTTGTAAGCCCATCACCCAGGCTGTGTGGCCATCACACTGCCTGTCCCTTGGTATCTCTGGGTGTCCTTTCCTCTTCTTGAAAGGGCTTAGCGCCCACCCTAGTGTGCCCCTCTCCTGATTTAAGTAATGACATCTGCAAGACCTTTCTGTGGTTCCCGGAGAACCTGAATTTGGGGATACTCTTCTGCCCACTGTTGGCTGGTAGGTGACAGCACCTTAGCTTTTCCCTCAGGCCCCTTGTACTTTCATGTCTTCACTTCATAGTGGAGTG